ACACACACACACACACATACATACACACATACACATACACACAAACACACAAAACCACACGCACACATGCACCCAGGAACGCACACGAACATGCAGTAATTTCTTGAGAGCCTATAAAGTTATCCTTTTAATTTAGAGATAGTGCTACTCAGCAGAAAAAATACCCCCCCCCTCCCCAACCCGCTAACATTTTGTTACTTAATAATAGTCTTGTTCCCTCCAAGGCACTCAGTCGTATTCATTATTTGTGTTTAAAAAAAATAGATCGGGCTATTGTGCAGTTTTTATTGCCTCTATTAAAATTCCAGCTCGCTAATGTCTCTCACAGGATACCGAAGATGAAATTACAGTCTCCCCTCCAAGGAATAACGGCATATAAAAACATGGAAATCACGACGCCAAACAAAATTTGGGCAGTTCTTTTTCTTCTTGTATCCTCCCCAAAGACTGCATTGAGCTTCTGTTAGTTTGGTATACATAATATAACATGAATTTGAGCCTCGAGAATTTGAGCCTCAAGAGATAATGACATTTTTGTGTTTTGTCAGGATTAAATGTCAATTTTTCTAGTTTGTTTTCACCTGTTTGCTCATGCACAGGGACCGGATGTGCCCTTATTATGTGTCTTATTCAGAGGTGAATTTACGTAGCCATAATGTGTGGCGCCTTGTATAAACTTAGGATACAAGGAACTATTTATTTTATCAACCTCTTATAACGAACCTATTGATCTGCAGGGGGCGTACACAACATAAATTCATGTGAGAAAACACACCAATAAATTGTATTAAAATTACTCTTAGCGAATGCACAGATTCATTTTCAATAGGATATTGTCGTGATGATATCTGTGATCAGAGTCTCGGAACATGATAAATGGGGAAAAATAGGAGGTGTTAGGGGGTAAATTATTTGTCAAGGACTATCAATGCATCAGAGTTCTCAAAACCAGCAAAATTTAATCTTTTTAATTTATTAGGTGAAACCACCCAAACTAGGCCAATGCGTTTTTCACACGTGCGTACACAGTGAACAGTAATAAACGAGAGGGTCCATTTCTACACAAACCAACATCACACATGCGCGTCCCTTTATAAATTCAAACAAACTCAAATGTAAACAGAAAGAAGTGCTCAAAATATACAGAGAAAGAAAAGCAAACAGATAAAGAATGATACAGAATATGAGACGGAGGGGAAAAGCCGACACAGAGGAGAAAGAAAGAAAAACGCAGAGAATAAATAAATGGATCTAACGGAAAGAAAGGGAGAAAGAAAGATGTTTTAAAAAGCTGAAAGCAAAGACACATACAAACAAACATGACAGTATGCAAACAATAACGCCAATAGCCAAACAGAGTAGAAAGAAAGAGAGAGAGAGAGAGAGAGAGAGAGAGAGAGAGAGAGAGAGAGAGAGAGAGA